TGGAGAATAAAATGTTTAAGCAGCACCTCTGCTTATTTCATGGCTAAGTTATTTTGTATTAGCTACGGAAATTGCTGCTGTGTCTGTTCGGGGAGGATGCATGCAGACTGCTCAATTAGCAAAAAATCAGAAAGAAATTACCTCATGGTTTGCTTCTAAAGGCTTGTATTTGCTTTTTTGTAAGCAGGAGACACTATAATACAGCTTCCAATCAATCAACCACATAGTTCTGGTAATCAGTGCCACAAACAGACTTTATATATATATATATATATTATATGGAAGTGTGTGTCTACTTTTAGGGATAAAAAATTTTCCAAGTTGCATGAGTTTGCTCAAGATCTGCATGTCATGATAGAGCTCACTGCTCTGCTGGATTCTGCCTTAACCTGCTGGCAGGTGTCACTGGAGGCGTGGAGCCAAGGCTTTGGTGAACAGCATCCATCCAATTTGGCAATAAAAATCATATTTCTGTGAGCAGAGAAGCAGGGAGAAGAGCAATGCCCAGTACTTACCACCTTGGACACGTTTGGAATAGTTGCTTTGCAGTTGAGTATCGGCTTTAGTGTGTGCTAATTCTCTGGAGGATTTGTTTTTTAGGCTTTCACAAGGGTCAGTTGAATAATGAAGAAATGGAAAAACAATCAGTCCTTTTTAGTTGTGCACAAACTGCTGTCACTGTGTGACTGGGATCAGACAAAGAGGTGCAGTGTTTATGGAGGATAACGCATTGCGAGCATGTAGCAGCAGAAAGTGTAGGTACTGGTGCAGGCTTTTGGTTGTGACATAGTTAAGCGTAGCCTACATACCTACTTCTGAAGTCTCTCATTGTGTCGCATTTCATCGTATCATCTGTTAGCATATGGCTGTCATGGATAATTGAGACTTATCATTAAAATAATTTTGGCAGAGCCTAGTTTCACACATTTCCTGTTAAACACCCAGGAGAGGAACGGGCTCTTGTTTCCCCTGAGCCCTTTTGCCATGGTGGTGGAACTACAGAGCCAGAACAGCGACGCTTCTCCATAGCAGCTATTACAGTGCTCGAGAGCTTCCCAAACTTCTGCAAATGCAGCAAACTGCTTTTCACAGAATTTAGAGTTTGATTTTTGGACATGTGTTCGGCATGTGCAGTATTTTTCCTTCACTGAATTACCGTCTTCCGCGTAGGCAGCGGTGGCAAGTGACCCAGGAAACAACTTGCGATGCAGTGTCTAGTCTGGCATCTGTATTTGTGCAAAACACTGTAATTTACAGGAGCATTCATCAGCACAGCCCAATTGCAGAGCTCTTCAACTGACTTCGTTGGAATAAATAAGCAATAAATTATGTGCTAGCACATTAAAAGAAATGTATCAGAATAGGTGCTCAAAATACTCTTTTATCATAGACTTTCGCCAGCTGTTTAAAGTCAGCAAAAATATTGCTGTTTATTTCAGTGGGAGTTTGCTCAAACCAAGATGTATTATAAGAGAACTTGGGGACTTGTGCGTTTGGGATAATTTTCTGTGAAAAAGACATCCCTGCCGATCTTGCAAGCTGCAGGGGTGGGGGCCGACCTTATTTTTAAATTTCTGCATTTATTTTTCATAGGATGTATCATGGCTGATGTGCTTACACGCCTTGTGTAGGGTAAGGAGTTGTAACTGAGGCTGTAACCACAGCTTTGGCCGTGATCCAGTCTGACAGTCCCAGCTGTGTGCACCAGCATCCCTTAAAGAGGGACCTGATCATGTTTTAAAACAGAAGTTTAACCTGTCTAAAATAAACAAACTTGTCCCTAAAAATAGCTGAATATTAACAAACTTGTACCAGAATTCTAAAGAAATGTAGAAATCGGTTCATGTAGAAAATTCTCTTTTTTCCGTTGGGCGATTCCTGCTTTACCCTGGCAGAGCTTGTCCTTGGAACGTGAGGAAATGGTTTCAGCCACTGTACGGTCACACAAATGGGGATCTGAAATCCTCTGTTAACAGAATAGCCACTGTTTTCTTCTACCCTGGAATTAGTGCCAGCAGGGCAGTTTTGAAACATGCAGAGAATTACCACATGCTGCTGCAATGGTAAAACAACCAGCTGAGCTCGCAGGTAACCTCATCTCCCCCTGCCGCCACCTTTCTTTTTTTTTGGGGGGGGGGGGAAGAGAGGAAAAAAAAAAAGGTCAAACTGGTGAATCAAAGATTCATCATTCAATGTCCGTGCTGTAAGCTACCTTGGCTTAAATCCTCTTGCTTTCTTCTCCCAACGTCCCCCAGCCTTCTAGCATGTGGTGGCTATTTTAAGTGGAAAAATATAGCCCTGTTGTGCAGATACCTTTTTTCTTGATCCTGTTAAAATCTTCACCAGGGCCTTCCTTGGACACTTCAAATAGAGGTGGCACAAAATTGAGTTGAGAAATTTTTTTTCACTAGTACCTGTTTTTCATCATTGGTTGTCAATGGAATGGAATAGAAGCCCACACAGAAGCACTCCAAATACATGAATATACACCGCATTGTGGTTTCAGGCAAGGGTAGGCTGCATTTCAGTTTCCATGAGCTGAATTTTATCAGACACTGTTCCAACCAGCAGCACGCTAATCGGGCATCTGTGTTGCTTTGCAAGACAATAGCATATTTAAATGTTCACTAATTTCAAAGAAGGATTTCTGGAGAACAGTGGATGGCAGGAAGCCATGGGCTGCTGTTGCTACGGCAGGTTGTGAAGGTGAGGTCTGCCCACCTGACCCGGAGAGCTTCACAGAGAAGTTGTGTCAGCAAGATTTGAAAAATGCCTGAGAGACCCCATCCCTCAGTGACTGCCAGAACCAAAATATCTGTGCTGCTGCTCCTCAGGGCACCGAAGGAGTAAGAGCCTGTGGTTGAAGTGTTCAGTTGTTTGATGCTAGCACTTAATTCCTCTGAGTCACAGCAAGTTTAGAAACTAGACCATGGTATGTTAAAAAGATGGCAAGTGGAGAGGATGTCTTTGTATTTTCTGCCATCCAGCCATAATCAAACTGGAGGGAAAAAAGCTTGTTTTATTTTCACTGAGTTTTTCCAGTGGCTCTGTTAACAACTATCATTCCACAGATTGTAGGAAAAAACTGCTTGATGAGGTATTCGAGGGGAGCTGGTCAAATCTATTGACAAAATGTTCTTTTCCCTTGCCCACCCGCTGCCACCGTCTTGCTGCTCTCAGTCTGGCTCAGCTAGCTGTTCTCCTCCCATGGCACAACAGGGGTGGGCTTTTCTCTTCAGCGTATCTGGTGCTCGTTCCTCTGAGCTGCTTTCTGCATGTGCTGGCCTCGCAATGTGCCTCTCCCACGCTCCAGTGCTCCCCTGAGCTCTTCCTTTGGCTCTGTGCTCTTTGTGGCGTTTCCTCTGTTCTCCCTGTCCTTCGACAGTGGGGGTTTGAAGTCCCAGCGGAGGAGCACAGCCAACTTTCACATGAGCCATTTCCCATCCAATACCAACAGTGCAGCAGGGGTGGGAAGAGCCTTCTCCAGTGCTCAAGGTTTTTCCTGGTGATGTGCTGGAGCTGGGCTGGCAAAGCACAGCCTGTGTGTGGGCCCTGGTTTGTCAGGGCTGGTAGAGGCAGTGAACGCCCCAGAGGCTGCTGCAGCCAAGAGTTAGGATCTCTCAGCCCGCCCTGTTGCCAGTGCTTTCAACAGGTGGCTGGGGCACCGACTGCCACGCTGGCTGGGAACTTGTTGCAGTCAGAGCTCTTCCCATGTCTGGGAAGGATTCCCAGACTGAGGATGGGATTTTTTACTGCCGAGAGGCATGGCAGGGGGAGCGAGCCCTTCCTCGGGGAGAGGAAAGCCCTTCTCTCCTGCCACTGGCCTAGGCCCTGCTCAGCTTCCCTGAGCAGAAACGCAATCACTGCTCCGATTTTTCCAAAGGAATGGGTAACTCGGGGGAGAAGGGCTGCACCTACCTCTGAGCCACAGACACAAAAACATGTGGCAGATCTCATTACAGCACAGCCAGATTCATTAATGCAGCGAGACTTTGGTGGCTTTCTGCTCCTTACCTGGAGAGCTTCAAGCATCAGAACAGTCCTTCAGTGCTTTGATACTTTTTCTGCCTTTGCAAAGCAGTATTTGCAACTCGTGAATCAAAACTCTCCGAGAGCCCTGCTACTTGCAAGTCTTCTGGAAATTTGTGCTTTCATGGTGTATGAACCCCACGGGAGACATGAATCTTTCAGAGGCTTCATGCAAATAAAATGCAGCATTGTACAGTCTTAGGCATAGCCTCAAGTTTCTCAGTTTTTCCTAACAAAGTACTGATTTTCTGCTCTTTTATTTATTTCTTTTAGTAAAGCTCTGCAGTTCACACTTGGTTCAGCTCTGTATAACCAACATAATCCTATTTCGTTACTATTTAACCAGATAATCAAGATGCCAAAAGCATTTCTATGGCTTGGGAATTCCCTTCTTTTCTGCCTTAAAATTCTAATTGCAGTCATGTATGAACCTCTGGTTTATAATATAGAAAAACACAATTTAGTCCCCAGGAAAAAAGAACATGGAAGCACATGCAGGGAGACTCACTGTAATTTGGAATAATAATAATATAATAAAATTTAGATCATTGTAGCAAAGATGTAAGCTAGAACTGCTCTGTGTTCAGTGAAAAAAAAAAAAGTCTCTCAGCATCTTTTCAGTTTTCTTTCCCCCAGAAAGGGGTGCAGGCAGACTTGTCATCTGTCCCGCTTCTTAGCTACAGAGTTGTGCCCCTGGAGTTAATTTTCTAGAGTTAGTGATGTCCTACAGATGTCTTCGAAGCAGGGGCAGGGAAAGGAGCAGGACTGGGGTAAGGAAGGTAATGCTTACCTACAATATTAAGCATCAGAGATTCTGTACCAGGAGAGGACTAAACACCTTGAGGCCATTGAAAACAGTGGCTGCTGACTGTTTGTTATTATTAACAGCCAAGGGCAAGCATCATGTCATCAGTTTGTTTCTAACTTAAAGCTAATGGTCTTTAAATGTTGCTTTTCTGTTTTCCCCACAGGTAAATATGTCTATCAGCCCATGACACCTGTAGAGCAGCTTCCCAGCACCGAAATACCCGTTCGCCCTCGGGAGTCTACAAACACAATCCAGATCTCCGTTTCGCTCACCGAACACTTTTTGAAGTTTGCGCCCGTCTTCCAGCCCCCTCTGCCCCCTGACTCCCCGCAGTTCTGCACAATCGCAGACCTTTTCATTGACAATTATCGCGTGAAATGCATCAACGGGAAGATGTGCTATGTGCAGAGGCAGCCTCCCCCCATGCCCCACAAGATAAAGCCCGAGGAAGTCCCTGTTCGCAATGCCTTAATCACAAAAGAGAGCAATACACCAAAAACAGATCACTGCTCGTCCCCTTCCAGTTCTGAGGACTCCGGGATCAATGCGGTGGGGGTTCATTACATGGAGTCGTGTGACGAGGACACGGAGGGGGTGGCCGAGCTAAGTTCAGAAGAAGATTACAGCCCAGATAGCAGCTGGGAACCAGATGAATGCCCGCTCTTGTCACCCTCGCAGTGCGAAATGGAAGTGATTGAGACTATAGAAACCACTGTGTGATCCGTCAAGTTGGTATCAGATCAGTCCAGTTCCCACTCAGCAATGTTGCTTTTGTAGTATTTATATTTTCTGTTTTTTCTGACAATCCCTTTTTTCCAGTGCACTTGATATTTCAGATTCCTCATGGGAGTGCGGTCACAGGATTTGCATATTGGTGAACTAGCAGCAGCCTGAGCAATTTTAACATGTTCTCAGCCTGATCAGATCTCCCATGTCTGCACGTAAGGTAGTGATAAATCTTAAGACTTCTGTAGCTGAAATAGGCCCTTTTCTTGGTCTGGGTTACATCATGTACTGCTCATACAAGGATGTGCCACTCGAGATGTTTCCATCTGTCAGGATGTTTGCAGTGGGCCTTCAAAGCACAGAGGGTGAGCTGGTGCAGCACAGCTGCAAGCAGCAAAACCGAGTTGCCCTTATTCTTTCTCAAACAGCTACGCGAGGTGTGGCGACAAGAGGCTCTTTCCGTCTCTGTCTGTCCTTGCGCATTGTCCATCCTTTTCTCTAGTGCTGGTGCGACCCTTCTTGAAGGCTGTCGGCACCACTCTTCCAGCGGGTTGGTATGGCAGGCTAGAGAATGCACAAAGTGCCTCCAACTTTTCTCCAGGCTATGCACCGAGCATCTGCTGAGTTTAGTCAGGCTCTGAAATCTCCTGAGAAGGCAACTGTTGCTCCGGAGGGGGATCTGTTGCCTGGATCCAGCTGGTCCCTTTTCTCTGCATGGATCTCGGGAAGGGGATCTGGCTTTGCAGCTCAGCAGGAGGGGGAGCAGGCAGAGATGAAGCATGGCCGTCTAACCAATACCATGCTAGACTGGCGGGTAAAATGATAGGCGAAGGAAGTGACTACCTCCAAAGACACAAAACCCGCCCTCGGCTTTGCCTGCTGCTTCCTCCTGTGCTGTTTGGTGCCGGACACGTGCACTCAGGACCAAATGGCCCCAGGGCCTGCATTTGCCTGAAGAATAACAAAATTTTAAAAAAAAGTTTATCAGCCACACCACTGTGTCGGCAGAGCTCGGGGACAGCGTGGAGGTGCTCGTGGGAGATGGCCCATGGGCTCGGTAGTGTGTGTGCTTGTTAAAATACAGCCTAAGATCATTCTAGCGGAGAGAGGAGGCTTTGGCTCCTGCTCCTTTGCACCCAGTTCAAGAGCGGATTCTGATCAGGGGTTTCCTCAAATAGCTGGTAAGAGCGAGCTGTCTCGCTGGTGGTTTGGTTTCAGCCCTGCTTGATGAAACAAAAATGTCATTTTCAGAAGATTTCAGTCAGCTTGAATCAGTTGGAGTCAGTAATAACTGTGTTTTCAACAGCATTACTGAATTTCTTTGTGTATTTGCTGTTTACGTTTCAAAAGTCATTGGTGAATATAAGGCTGTATAAATGTGTACAGTTTAGTGACTGATACTAGATTATAGTCTGTGTTATAGGATGGCTCACCTCTCTCACTGTATCCTGACAATGTACTACTAATTTTATACACTTTGTAATCAGTATCTTTAGAAAACGTTTAGGCAACAGTGTGTGTATGTGCACATGCGCCTGTGCTAGGAGTTTACCATAAATGGTTATAAAGTAATACTGTACTTTTTAGACTAACACTTTCAGACAAAAATAATAGGTTTTATAGTTTTGATGATTTACATTAAAAAGTGCAATGCTTGTTAAATGAGGAACTTGGGCCATTGCATGAACAGATACATTCTCACAAGGCACCTGAAAATATTCTGTTTTTCTGAGGGCATTTAAATGAAGGCCGTAGTAAAAGTAAATAGGATTTATTAATTTTTTAAGGGCGGGGTTGTCTTTCTTGGTTAACTAAGGTTTCTAACAACATTTTAGCGTCTTTTGACCATTCAGACACATTCCATAGGTAGAAGGAAGCATTATGTATAAACCTACAGCATTTATTCGTATTTAATCTTTCAATTGTAATCTGAGTGGAGAGCTGAAAAAGCTTACTCTTGTGCCTGGCCTGCCTGAGCTTTCTTCCCAGAGGCAGCTTCTCCTTCCCGAGAAGATGGGGTGGGCTGACAGATGCATCCTCCCAAGGGACTAGCAGCAGCGGGGCCTTTCCTGAGGACAAGGTGCTCCTCGCCAGCTCTCGCTGTGGGCACCAGGCACAGGAAAGGTTACCAGGACCCTCTGACTTGGCATGAGCTCGCCTTGTTTGCAAGCAAGCAGGAGCCACCTTCTCCTGCTGTTAAGGGGCACCGGCTGTGAGTGTAGTGAAATTCAGTTGGGTATTTATGACCAAGACTTACTGTAAGATCCTGAGGTCTTGCAGGTTCATATCACTGTCGTCAAGATACATTCTTTCTTAACTGTAAGTAATTAGCAATATTGACAAGCTGTGAGTGTCTCCTACCCAGGATTTGTTCAGATGTCTTAAGCACAATAAGCTGCCTCTTCCTTCTGTTGTACCCGTAAAACGTCAGTGGAGCAGCCTGGTGTGGGACAGGGCTAGTTCTGGAAAGCGTTTCAGCAGCCAGCACAGTGGGAGGTTTCTCACTGTGCTCCATCACGCACCCCAGTTCAGAAACACGCTCTTCACAGAAACGTGGTTTCTTTTCTTCGCACAAACACTGGTGTAGACGTGCTGTAAGAGACGTGCCCTGGGCTTGTTGCTCCATTCTGCCAGGGAGAGGTGTGTATATTTCCTCTTTAATAAAATACTAAACAACTGAAGTTCTGCTTGTCCTAACTAACTGTGTATTTTCCATACTACAGTGAAACATTCTGATATTTCCAGCAAAGGAAGGGCTTCAGATGGCAGCACCTGAAACACACACCCAGTGCTAGGCAGAGAAATGTAATAACCAGGTGGAGTGCACCAGGCCCAGCCCCACCTGGGTTTGGGCACGTGGTAAGTACTGGGGCTGCTGGGCAACCTCACAGCCCAGTTCTCACTTGCCTGTAAAAGAAGAGCTGCCCCAGTCATGGGGGAGGACAGCAGGGAAAAGAGCTGCAAGCCCAGGCTGACGTCTGGGAGAGTTCAGCTGGCTGTAGCCCCTTGACTTCCCTCTGACCAGGTTCACAGGTGGCTGCAGCCTGGAAACATCAGTCTGGGGCACCATTTTGTAGTTCTTAATGCCAGTGGGAAGAAGGTGAGCACACTGGGCATGCCAGGCCCCAGGGCGCATGGTGCTGGCACTGCTCCCCAGCCAGGTGGGCTCTGCACAACAGCTGGCACTTTCGTGTTCCTTGGAGGCAGCAGTGCTGCCCCATGTTCCTGCCATCCAGCATGAGCTCTGCATGGACCAGCCACACAGCTCTGTGCATTAGTTCTGTGTGTGTGGAGAGCAACACCCACCTGGTGCTGTATTCTTCCTGGGGGTGGCTGGGACCCTGAAGGTATGGTACCCCAAAACATGCAAGTGCTAGTGACAAAATGAACAGGGGGAAGAGGTGAGATAATGATCACCAGACCAATAACACACATTGTTAGGGCAGGATCTGGAGTGCATTTCACAAGCCAGAGGTGACAGTATAGAAACACCACTGCTATTAGGTTGCAGCTGTGTGAGTAGAGTGATAAAGGTGCCGCTGGGAAGGGACACTGCCCAGTTTGGTATTGCAAAACAGCGGGTTGAGCTTAGTCGTGACAAACCTCTCTGACCATCAGTGCCCATCACACCGATCCTCTCCCCTTTGCAGCCCCCAAGGGCCTGCAGCACCTTTTTACACAGACACTCCCCCCCGCCCCCCCAACATAGGTACCACAAGGCAAGAGGGAAGATTTGTGCTTCACCCACAGTGACAAGATGCATCTTTCTCTACCAGAGTTCAGTGGCAATTGTACTAACAAAATGGCAGCCAGCAGCACTGCCAGACCAGCAGCCCTCTTACCCACTCCCCGTGTGCACAGCTCACGCAGGAAATTTCAACCAAGGGCCTTTTTAATGGAAGTTTGTAGGAACACACTGTGCACAGGTTAGTTTGCTCACACATGCATCGTTTTCTGCATTCTTCAGCCTCTTCCGGGTTTGCCTGTTCTGTGTCCTCAGACGCCACGGCTGCTGCCATGAGACAGTGGGCCAGGCCTTGGCAAAATGACTGCTTTTACTAGTACTACAATTAAAACTCAGGTATGGTACCCATCCACAGAAACAACACAGCACCGTGAAACGCAGGCTCTGGGCACAGGACAGGCCACACTCCTCCAGTGGAATGGAGCTGACTCGGTTATTTGGCAAAGTTACCACTGCTGCCGTGAGCCTCCGGGTCAGTGCAGGTAGCCCAGTGCTGTGCAGTGCTTCAGCACGCTTGGTTTTGCCCCCAGAGTTCACAGCTTCCAGCCCCGCTGCCCCATGGCTGCCTCAGTTTAGTGAGAGGCGGCAGCAGAGCTGGGAGATCACCCGCTGCTACAAACCCACCAGTGCCCAGCGAGACTCAACACAGCACAGAGGGTTCTGGGAAAGGCGGCGGAGCGGGGGAAAGTCTAGTGTTGTGATGGAAAGGCTTCCCAGCACCAAGACCTGAAACCAACCGTGGCCTTGCCACAGCCGGGGCTGGAGGCCGGAGTGCTAGTCTTCAGCCAGCGGAGGGGGGGCCAGATGGAGCTGGAAGTTCTCATTCTGGAAGACACTGCTGGTGGCCGGGTCACCGTGGGAAACGCTGAGCAGCCCGTGCTTTTCACCACCATGGCCGCGAGACAGTTCTGTCAGGAGAGCTAGCTGCAAGAGAAAACCCAGACAGATCACTGTCTGGCAGCCTGGGCAGACCGCCTAGAAGCACTTGTGCAAGGTGCAGAAAGACAAAGTGCTCATGGGGGCTCACCTTTTTCCTGCAGCAATTAGAAAAACCTTAACACATGTAAAGAAAAGGGTATATATGGTACGTAGTGACCCTACAGAGCTCAGTGCAGGACAACAGTCCTGAACTAAACAACTTTCCAGGTGTCTTTAGGTTGTTTTAAAGTTACATAATTGAAAATCCCAGAAAGAGCTGCAAGTGCCAACAACTGCAGCTAAAACAGGCAGGAGGCACAAGGAAAATGCAAGGGACAGAGGGAGCTGCACTCTCCTTGGGACAACATGGAAGGCAGTTGGCGGGAGCCTTCTGTGTGATCGCGGGAGCCACACAGTGTCTGGAGGGGAGGTTATTTGCAAATCTAAAAAGAATCTGAGAAACCTCACACCATGGACACTTTTCAGGCCCAGCCCCAAAGCCAGAGGCATTTCCATGGTTTAACTGCCAGTGAATTCCCCAGCTCTGTCAGAGGCAGCGTGGCTGCCTTGTGATGTGAAACAGCCAGCTCTGCGCACGGTAAATTGCCAGCACTAAATGAAACCCAAGAGGCAAGCCAAAGCCTACGCTGCCAGTACTAATATCTGGCTTGACAACATGCAAAATACCCTTCACCAATTTAAAACCGAAAGGAAAACAGGTGATACGTACTCTGGAGGTTCCTCGGTTGAGTCGGCAGAGTTGGTCAAAAGCTTGGATTTGCTGAGGATCCAACAGAGACTCTGAACTTGTCTGATAAAGAGAGTGAGAAGGTTACAGAAACAACACACAACAAGATGTCAAGTTCATATACACAGAAATTCATCCCTGCCCCTGTCCTTGGGCCTGGAGCAGCCAGTCCACAGCCTGTTCAGGGGGCTTTTTTTAGCCATCTTGCCTCTGGCTTGAGGCCACTGTATGCACCTTCGTTTTGGAAAAAAGAATCCTATTGTTGCACAAAGGACAGAGATACCTTTACATCCACAATGACTTATTGTTGGGGTCTGTAGCTGATGGCAGACAAACAGTACTAAGTTACCTTTGGGGGAAGGAGGAAAAAAAAAGTAAAAGGACAGGCAGAAAAAGAAATAAAAGGGATTGGAAAACTTCCCCGCAGCCAGCTGGGAAGAGAAGTCATGGGTCTCTGCAGACAAGCAGCCTCTCCTGGGCTCCTTCCCAGGCAGCAGCAGCTCCCCCCAGTCCTTTCTCGTCATCTCCTGATAGTCTCCCCCAGCCCCGCTCAGCCTCCCTACTGGGTCCTGACACAGTGCAGACTGCAGCACGCTGTGACCGGGCGCAGATTGTGCGTGGCTATTATGGGGAATGATTACTGTGCCAATCACTATTATCTACTAATGGTATCTCTCCTAAGGTCCGTTTTTTTCCCTAGTAGGATGTTACAGACTAAAAGCTAGGAAATGAGGGGTGAAAAGGGGTGGGGAGAGGCAAGGCAACTCACACATCAGTGGCAGCCACGTCCCCTGAGAAACCGGACACAACAGACTTCACAGTACTGCCCAGCAGTATCAGCATTTGCAGGGTACAAGCAGTTGGGTACAAGGGTACGTGTCACACCAGCAGTGCCAGGGCAGTTACAGAGTTGCAGGTAAGAGCAAACAGAATTGCAAATAGAGGGACCACAGCCTGCAACAAGAGCATTAACACAAGGAGGGCTGCATACATACTCAAACTGCTTTAAAAGGCATCATTTACATATCCCAGGGAGAGATGACAGAGCATCACAGATTCCTGTAAGTTTGTTCCATTTTATCACATCACAATGTTTCTATTTTGAATGTTTCTGCTCATATTCCAAAGCAAAAGCATCATCAAGAAACTACAACAGGAGCCAGGGCGAACAGCCTCCCTCATGAGCAGCAATGTGGCATCTGTTTTCTCTGGGGATCTATTTTTAAGGGAACATTCAACGTTCATTCTCAAATATTTTCCCCAAAATACATTTCCCAAGGGCCATTAACCCAAAATGCTACAGTCCTACCAGTGGGTACTGACTGAAGTTGCATTTACTTTAAACTCTCTTTGGCAATGGATCAAGCTGAACATGAAGAACTAGTATCACTGCCCTCAAGGAGTGCGATCAGCTGGAATTAAGGCTGAACTCCTGGCCCCACAAAGGCAGAGGGGGCTTCACTGTTCCTTTAGAGTCGGGCAGGGTCAACCAGGAGTTGGGACCGTTCCCGGTCAGGCACAAGTGTGCTCCTCTCTGCACTTACAGGCTCCTACCAGCAGCGAGGCCCTTCTCCCAGGGCAGGCATTCTCCTTTGGGGCTGCAGCACATTCGCTGCAACACCAGCTTGTTTTGTACTTCTCATGCTTTACAGTGTGTTTAAAGAGCATGTTCAAAAGCTCTGTGAAGATGACTCCCAGCCTGATTTGGGGAAATAAGTGCATGCTACAGCAACATGGTGCTGTGCGGGGCACAGCATGCTGGCTCCCAAGCTTGTCTGCAAGAGCTCACCATCAGCCCTTCACAAGAGCCAGCAAGACTTGGCAAACACCCTAGAGAGCACAGTCTGATCATTATCCTGAGCCTGCAATTATCCTAAGCTTGGGGTACACTGCCATCCAGGTTTAAGGTACAGCTTGGGGCTGCTGCTGCCCGGAGGGGGCTGCAGTCTGCATTACAGCTCTGTCTCACGGCCCCAGAAAAGTGCCCTATGTCCCAGGAAGAGCTAAGGGCCTCTTGGACACGGCTCCTTCTGAGCAGCCCTGCCCAAAGTGGATGACGAGCTGCAGTCTGCAATGGGTAAGGTCTGGGGGCAGAGGGAAAAAACATCTTTCCAGAGATCACACTGTCTTAGTCTTTGACTCAATTTTTAATCACGACCCAAGGAAAAAGGGAAACCCTGCTGGCAACCGTGCAATGAAAATCAACTAACGTGAGCTGCCTTGAAAGAAAGTTACT